TAGCAAACATACTAGCTAAAACAAATGAGCAAAACCCTAACTAGAAGTTTTGGTAATTTACAATTTTAACTTTTAGCGTTTAGCTCAAAACAGATTCGTTATGTTTAACTTTTAGCTAAGGTTTTGCTAATTTAGGGTTTTACTTATTATTTTAGCTTTTAGCTACTTTTTGTATCAAAGGTTTTTGCCAGTTTGGCTAATTTTAGTTTTGCTGATTGTGTTTCAACGAGTTTAGCTTCTCTTGTTTAACAGTTAATAATTTTACTCATCAAACTTTTGCAGTCATTCAGTTCTCGGCGTAGATGTGGCATTTTCTTATAAAACACAATTTCTCCAGTTAAAAATTCAGCTTTTCTTCTGTAAAAAAACTAAAAATCTGATCCTCCAGCTCTCAACGCGTCACAGCTCTGCCTCATCTCCCTGTAGTCAGGGTGTGTAACAGGCCGCTTTTCTTTCTTAAATTACAGACCATTTACATTCCCACACAGAAATGCAGCATGTAATGTTGGGTCAGAACAGTTACGGAGTTATTAATAACCAGCAGTCCAAATGTACGTCAAGATTTTTATTCTGCTTCACATCTCTGTATGTGCTTTGAAACAGGTTACACGTGAAATACGTCGTTTCTTTTCTCCGGTTCGGAGGGTGTGTTCAGGTCTTTACGATCAAAGGTCTCATCCAGCAAACAAGAGGTTTGAATGCACGAACTTGACGCTGCTGCATGACTGAGGGTTAGTTTTAGTGAACTCCACCCGCCCATGATTCATAATAATCACATAACACTTCCCTGTAATGTGGGGAGCCACAACAACTAGCTGTAGTTTTAGTATATATGTATATATAAAAGAAATCTGGGTAAAATAAAGATCTGTAACGTCTCCATGAATGCATATTTTGTACAGGGATAAGTCCAATTACATTATGATTTTAACCTAACGTATATTCACATTAACCTTTTGTATTCTTACATATTTCGCCAGTTTATGGAGCTGTAAGTGTGAATCCACATTTCCTCTGGCGATTAAAAAAAAAAAAAAAAAAAATGGTTACAGAGCAATGTCTCACACACAAACAGACACAATTTTCACGAGCTTCAACTTGTCCGTCCCTTTTCTATGGAAGTAAATCCAGCTAATCAGTGCTGGAAGGTGAGCTTTGTTTCCACCCCCAGAGGGCTGAAAATAAAGAGTAATGAGTTCAAGCGTTCGCTTTTCACTCACATTCCAAAAGCCTTTCGTTCGGGCGCTTGTAATACAGTGTCTGCGTGTTAAAAGGTGCAACGTACTTTGGGTCAGTTTACTCACCGCTGAACAAATGAGCTCAAACTAACAAGTTAGTCCCTTCATTGTAAAACGATACTCTCGTGTTGTAAAGTGTGTTGGAGTCACTCTGCTGCTCTCAAACAACCAGCATTTACTCCGTTCACCTACTCACAGTCGGAGCGCACAGTTCGTTTTCTTTCGCAACAAAAACGACACATTAACAGGGTTTGGTCTTCGAGTCTCGACTTCACTGAGCGTCTCTGCTTTGTTTAAATCTTCAGTCGTGCATTGAACATCTTTAGCTGATCATTTTCCAGGCGATGTGACAAAGAAGACATCAAAGCTTTGACTGTCACACGTGTTGGATCCTTTAAGGGTTTGTTTGCGCTGCCTGACGGTGGGAGAGTCTGATGCTCCTGTAGTGTGGAGGCAGTGTTGGTACAGAGATGTTCAAGCTCTCCCGAAGGCGTCCTGAAGACTCCTCTAGCGGCCCTTGTTCTTTTTGGCATTTCCCTAGAAGATACAAACAGAAAAACTCGATTTTTGACAGGAAATTAAAATAAAATAAAAAGTCGACATCCAGAATCGGTATTAAAAATCAAAGTTTTGTATTTCAGTGCAGTCGGTTGAGGCAGCCCAGTACGGTGACACTGAGGTGCAAATGAACAACATTTAAAAAAAACTAAATTAAGTTTGAAAAAACACAACACTTGAAAAAAAATGGAATTACATTAAGCCAAACCGTGTTTTTTTATTTTTATTTTCAACTTTACTAACAACATAGAACAAATGAATAATGTACAGCAACAAGATACAAATGCTCGTTAAGGGTGTGGGGTCCATGCAACGGCGTCGGAAGCATCCGTAATGTGGGGGGGACACAATGATGTGTAGGTGTGTGTACGTGCGCGCATGTGTGCATGTGCGTGCACGTTAAAAAAAGGTGTTCACTAGTGTACAAAAAAAAAAAAAAAGCAACATTTCACCTAGATTTCCTTTAATTCCACACATTTAAAACATGTTTCTCACCAAGTTTGTGTCAATTCAGCTGTGGGTTTAAAGTCATTTTAACTTTAACACAGAGCGTCAGGTCGGCACTATTTGTGTTTATTGTGAAATAAAAAACATCACCACTAGACATTTTTACTTGTGTTCAACACGACTCATCTAAATGTTGTTTCTCACGAAGCTTCAGGACAATAAGGAGTGTTTTTTTTAAAGACATTTCAACTTTAATGCACCTGAACACACAGCGTCACAGTTACGGCTCAGCTAAGATGCTACAGACGTAGCGCTGCACTTCTCTCCTTCTAACATAAATATATGTTAATGATCAACCCCCTGGTCAACAACTGCCTGCACAAAGCTCGCTAAACTGGCGAGCATCTCCTCCACCTGTGCGCGTTTTCTGCCAAAGCAGGAGGAGACGCACAGAAACACTGCAGGTGTTACACCGGTATATTGTGACCGTGGCAACAGGCTGCTGTGTTTAGAGTTGGAAGTAACCAGGAAAACCTGGAGTGGAGTTTTAGTGGTTTGAGTATTCTCCTATTAATCAAGTGGAATGGATTTGTTCACAAAGAAAGAGAAACTGCGCCGCCTGAACTAATGTTTCATAGTAAAAGTGTGTGTGTGTGTGTGGGGGGGGGGGTCCAAATGAACGTTTTTGGAATGTGGGGGGGACTTGTCCCCTTCACATATAATGGTTGTGACGCCTATGGGTCCATGTACCATTTGTTCAAATGCTTTTTAATTGAGAATTAAAAAAAATGAAAAATAAACACTTATGGTTTGGCTTAATGTAATTTCGTTTTTTCCCCCCCAAATGTAAATTTTGTGTTTTGTTTTTTCAAATGTAATTCAATTTTTTCAAATGTAATTCAATTTTTCCCAAAATGTAATTCTGTTTTTTTATGTTCATTTACACCTCAGGGCCACCGTAGCCCAGGCTTGCATTTTTCCTTCAAATTTTAAAAGCGTGCAGAGGCTGGTCTGTGACTTTTCTGAGAGAAATCGCCACAGGTGGAGCACAAACATGTTCTGGCCCGTGACTTCCCAACACACAGCTCTCTGTGAGCACGTAAGCAGGACTGACAAATGGGCCTCTCCTTAATGACTTTTTCAGACGGCTCCAGCAGGCGCTTTTCACATGAAACTCGGGCAGGAACCACAACACGGATGACCTTGTAGTTCACCTCACTGACAGGAACCTTTCAGCCCCATCTCACCGACATCTGATATCACTGTACGGTTCGGAGGTTTCTGCTTGTAGGAAAAATGCGTCGTGCACGGTTCAAACACGGCTTTCAGTTTTAAAACTCCATACGTAAGACTCAATTTTAAGAAAGCTCCACCCATTTTTAACATCAAATCATCTGAGGATGTTCATTTATACAGTGGTTTGGAACACCACGGAAATACACAAAAAGTGCACAAAAGGTGGACAACAAGTAGTTTTTCTTGTTAGCTTATGACTTAAAAAAACTTTTCATTAAAAGTGTAAGCAATTTTACTTAAAAAAAAAAAAAATCTGTAAAGCTTGATGCGGTAGTTGAACTTTTTATCTTCTTTCAGCTGCTCCCTTCTTCAGGGGTCACCAAAGTGAACTAACTCGCACGAAGACGTCCTTCCTGACGCAACCACACACCACTAAAGTCCTTTAAAGACCTTAAAGTCCTCCCGTGTGCGCTCCCACGGTCGCCATTTTGGCAGCCAATCGATTTTTAGCACAACACCGGCCCACGTTTCTGGGTGGTCAGCGGTGACGCATAATAGATGCGACTAATATGGAGAAGCGACTTAATTTATGTTTTTTTTTTCCACTTTATTAGACATTTTTGGACTTATGCGACTTATACGGCGGTGTGAATTTTACGGCGGAAAATACAGTACGGTTAAAGTGCAAAAAATACTTTGCCACTAATTTTTGTGAGAAAAACCAACAGTTTGGAAGCATGTTTTTTTTTTTCTTTTCCTACACCCGGTTTCAGATTTTTTTCTGAGCTTATCCAGACTTGGAAAATACTAAAACCAAAATCAGGACTTCTCCAGCAGGCTGCGTAGGAACCTTGGTCTTGGCGCTGTACCTTGCCACCCAGTTTGAGTGTGTCGATCTCCTCCCTCTGCTTGCTCAAAGTCTCGTTCATACTACACAGATGGTCGCTCATCATACTGAGCTGGTCTTCATAGCTCCTCTTGGTTGTAGCCAGCTCATCCTGCACAAGATAAACGGACTCAGAAAGTTTTCCAATTTGAAGGGAGCCCACCGTGTACTTTAAATTATACTACACACGAGAGGCTTCTTTGCGTTTTACCTGCAAGCGTGTGATGTTCTGATTAGCCACTTTGACCTCTTCGCTCAGAGTCTCCCGAGATTTTTCTGCGATGGTTAATCTCTTTGCCAAAGCTCGACACTAAAAAGAGAAGGAAAAGGGAGGTTTTCCGAAATGAATAATTTTTTTGATTTAGTAAATGTATTGATTCAACGTCAAGATGTAAACAATTTCAATAGGTCAAGTGTGTGGCTTTTTCTGTCCTCACTCCAACTACCCCCATGTCCCCTCTAACTGCATCCATAGATCTCCTCTTTGTCTTTTTCCTGGCAGCTGCATTTCCAACATACTTCTACCAATATACCCACTGTCCCTCCTCTGGACTTGTCCAAACCATCTCAGTCTGGTCTCTAACTTTACCTTCCAGACGTTCAACCTGTGCTGTACCTCTGACGATCTCATTCCTAATCTTATCCATCCTCGTCACTCCTAAGGAGAACTTCAGCATCTTCATTTCTGCCACTTCCAGTTCTTTCTCCTGCACTTCTGTCAGTGCCATCCTTTGACCTTTGCTGACACTGTTTTGTCACAAATCACACCTGAAACTTTTCTCCATCCTGCTTGAACTCTCCTCTTCACCTCTTTACCACACTCCCTGTTTTCCAGGACAGTGGACCCCAAGTCCTTGAAGTCCTGCACCTTTGTGACCTCTGCTCCTTGTAGCCTCACTGTTCCACCGGCCTCCCTCTCATTCACACACGTACTGTTTTACTACAGCTAACTTTAATTTTTCTTCTTTCAAGTGCACACTGCCACCTCTCCAAGTTCTCTTCCACCTGTTCTCACCACAGATGACATCATCATCTGCAAACATCATAATCCACTCATCTGTTATCCATCGCCAGAGCAAATAAGAAGGGGCTCAGAACAGAACCTTGATGTCATTTATGTCTTTACTGTCAGATAATATGCATCTAAATAGCTAAAAAATAATAATAACAACATACTTCTAAAACTTTTAGGGACACTCAAAATAAATTATGGAATTTTTTATGTTAAAGTAAATGTCAAAATGTTGCGATTAAAATGTGACAGAAAACTTAAAAAGAGTTTCAAACATACAGTGTTTTATTGTGGAACATGAACTTAAACTATTTTCATAAGCTTCAGATATTTACATAGAGTATTTTACATTTCAGTCTCTTATTGTGAAGGACTAAAAATATTCTAAGTAAAAAAAAAAAAAAAAAGCCCTGTTTGATTCAGCTGTTTCTTGGTAGTTAACCCAGAAAAAGTGCACCTATAACGCTCAGGTACTAGGGATGCACAATAATGGATTTTTGGCCGATATCAGATATGTTAAAACTTATTTGGCTAATAACAGATACCGATATTTTTATATTTTGTCAGAACATAGCCCTCTTATTTAGGCTTATTTGCTACAAAAATTGTGTAACAGCTGTAAGAGCTGGTGACATATATTCAGTAACAGCCATATGCATAGCACTTTAACTTATATTAAATGAAAAGTGCTAATTATTTATTAGCATTAGTCCCCTGCGATGCTGTCTCACTTGTGGAGGCTTGTTCCAGGTTCCTATAGCTGCAGTGTGGGATCCTCTACACTCTTGTGCATGAAGGACAGACTTTTTAAGTTCAAAGTTTTTGTGTATCCATTGTTCCGTAAGACTAATCATGCTAACGGGGCTAACGCTTGACGTCCAAATGTCTGTGGTAAAACTCACCCAAGTGCTATTAGCTTCTCAATGACGTAGGGAATGACGGCTTGTAACTCGGGTAAGGCTATATCTGAAAAATATCTCTGACTGGGGACGATGTATCGAGGCTCAACGTAGTCCAAAAATCTTTGGAATCTGACATCCTCAATAAAAAAATAAATAAAACTTCCACACCACCGATATTTTGACTACTTCCTCTCCGCCATCATCAGATCAAGTAGGTGCGCGTGACGTAACATTTTCAAACATTTTTTCGAAACATTTTAACTTTTTTTTGTAAATAATAATTTTTATTCTCAAATTAAAAACAAAAATGAAACTTTCTCCTCATTTTTTGTCCTGCGTGGCCCCAACGCTTTGTCGGAAAAAATAAAAACGCTGCGGTAACGGCGAGAGCTTATCCAAAGCACGGAGAGAAAGTAACAGTTTCTGTATCTCTTTTCTGACAAACTGCAACGTTCGAGGCAGTGTGGGGTGAACAGGTCAGTTATTTGCCAAAAGAAGCAGTTACTGAGATAAACACACATGTGGAGAGCTTCACCTCTGAGTGAAAGTGCACGGCTTTGCTGTCTGAAATCTGGAGCTGGGTGGTGAGCTCTCCAACTCGGGCCATATAGTGCGTCTTTATCAGCTGCTCCCGGGACTCCTCGTCTCCCACCTGCAGCGCAGACACAACATCCAGCAGGATGGGATTCGTTTTAACCTCCAACAGGACTAAATTATTTCAGTTATTTTCTTCCAGATATGCGACGGTGACTCACATGCTCATTCGTGGGGGTTGTGCACAACATGCCAACCTGGTGTCAAAACAGATAATTAGTTTAGACTTTAATTATCAGTGAGATGTTAAAAAAAAAAAAAAAAACACTTCAAACACAGACGAGCCTCTGAGAGGACAGACTAGACATGCAGGAGGCAACAGTAAAAACATAAAACCCAAGTAGGACAGAGACATGGGGGAGGGAAACAGCTCAGTTGTGACTTCACTCTGAACTCAGCACCGATTCTGAGTGGGGAAAAAAGTATTTTTCTATTTTGCTACATCAGCACATTAAAAGTCTGCGGTTTATTAAGCAGAAGGTTACTTTGTGTTGAAGCTAAAAGGAGAAAGTGATAACGCTCCCTTTGTTGACACTAATCAAACAGTCGCGCCGTGGGCAGAACATTTCCTCTGCTGGTGAAAACAAACAGCTTGAGCGGAGAGACGGTACCAGACTGGTGCACAGAGTTGTCTCCTTCCCTGTGGCTTTCTGTTCCGTCTCTGCTTCCTCGTGGCTCTGAGTGAGCCGGCTGGCTCCGGCCGGCTGCGAGTTTGGACTCCCCCCCAGAGCAGCTGCAAGCTGTGCTTCCAGGTCGGCAATCCGCTGGTTCTCCTTCTCCAGCCGCACCTTCCCCAGCTGAGCCTCCAGGAGCCAGTGCTCCTTCTCCTGCTCCAGCCGAGCAATCTTCTCCTGGCTCTGCTGCACCTGCACAAAGGTGAGGGCGGAGGAGTGGACCGTGAGCAGATGTTTGGAAAGGTGGAAGGGCAGCAGTATTTAATAAGGAAACTTAAAACCAATTTTGAAGAAATGAAAGTGGAAATTTATTTTATACAAAACAGAAAAGAGCATGCACATGAACATGTCCGTCCTTCACACCCATTCCCTAAAGAGCAACCGTCAGCAACTCTTCAGCGTCACATGACTGTGTTGCAAACGCTGAAGAATTTCTGTTTTCCTAACCAACTTCACCACACCTCTGTGCCTTTTGTTGTTTTCCACTGCTTCCAGTTCACATTGATAGTTGTGTTTAGTTACAATGTGAGCCAAAGACAAAGCTACAGCAAAACAAATGTATGTAGAGCTTGGTTTAACATCATTAAAGCATTCACAGCTACCCAACGTGGCTGACCACTGACCTACACACAACTATAATGTTTACATGATTTACTGATGAGTGCTCTTATCCATATGTAATAACTATAACGAAAAGAAACATTAAAATCCTCAAACTGCTTCAAGACGTACCGTACATTTCGCTGTATAAGTTACAGTTTTTTGCATAAATTAGCATGCCTGCGACTTATACAGTGAAGCGAAATATTTATGTTTTTCCCCATATTTATAATCCAATTTTTGGCTGAGATCTGACAATTTCATTCATTGTGACGTGGAAAATATTAAACAATAATTTTCAGCCATTAGAGGGCTCCCGACTAGTATGGCAAGCCAAGTGTCTCATTAATAGGTAAAGTGGCTATTAATGAGCCACTTGGCTTGCCATACAAAGTCACCTTCGGTCAAATCAGCTGCATTTGCTGCGCTGCCCAGACGAAATGCAGCTGATTTGACCATTAAAGTGCATTTATTAAGGAAAAGTTCAACTGAGACACACCTTTGCTATGAAGATGAGCAAACAAATAATTGATTTAGATGATTATCTTGTTAGTTTTCAAAAAAATGGACAACGAGTTGCCCTGTGTGCTCCCGCAGCCGCAAATCAGCTTTTGAAATGCAGTTAATTTGACCGTTAAAGTGAATCCATTAAGGAAAAGTTAAACTGAGACACACCTTTGCTATAATTTTGAGCAAACAAATAATAGTTTTTAAGTGTTAATCTTGTTAAATTCTTGTTAAAGTCCTCCTGTGCATGCTCCCGCGGCCGCCATTTGGCAGCCAATCAATTTTTGGCACACCAGCCCACATTTCCGGGTGGTCAGCGGTAACGCATAATAGATGCGACTTATACGGTGAAGCGACATGTACGGCGACAAGTACAGTACCACGTTATGTGCGTGCTTTACCTGCTGAGTTAGTCCCTCTCTGCTCTCAGTGGAGCTGGTGAGGATGCGGCGATTTGACAGGGCTTCTCTGTAAGGAACCGACTGCGGCCTGCCCTGAAAGAACCAGCAACATTGTATTTATTATTATTAATTTATTAAATTTATCATTTAAAGCTGTGGTGTGAGATATTTTGGCAACAGAATGACACGAGCAAACACACACAGGCACGAGCAAAAACATCTGCCTTCATCTTTTTAGCAGTAGTCAATAAATTGGGAATCAAGGTATAAAACCCTTAAATAATGCATTAATAGAACAAAAGACGCATTTAAAAAAGGCAGAAAACCCTCAGTAATAACCATTTTGTGATGATTTCAAAAACAACAGAAATATGAACTTGATCATCTAAAGACAAAAAGTATTTTAACGTGTGTGTGTGTGCTTCACGTTTAACTCGAACGTGTCGTCTTCGTCTGAGGCTTTAAAGCGCTCACCAACCTTTTGGATAGCCTGAATGTAGGCAGCTGCTTTCTTTTTGTTGGCCAGCATGGTCTCTGCTTGCAGCGGGTTGAGGGTGGCCGTGCTCCCTCTTGGACTGTAGGCCGGCGATGTGAAGAAGTCCAAGTTGTTGCTGAAGAAAGTGGCAATCTGCGACAAATGATTGCGATATTACGTCTCGCGTCGTTCAAACAAAAATACATTTACAGCGTCCTTAGCTAAAGAAAAACACCTTTTCAGATAGTCAGCAGTCTGTCAAGTGTAATTTAACTGGAGGGCTTAAAGCAAAGATAATTCCCCCGTCATTATTGTGTCCAGGATGATGAATGTCTGAGGAGTTAAGCTTTTGGCTGCCCTCAGCACGCAGCCACACACCTGCATGCTAGATGCTGCCGCTCGGTTCATATTTACATCATTTACACTTTTTCCTCTAACCAGACAGCAGCTGTTCAAACTGTGATTTGGACAGTTATCTTCAAAATGTATCCACTGTCCACCTGAGTCCTCCTGGATCTGTGATCCAGTTGTAGTACTAACAGTTATGCTTCAAGGCACTGCAACAAGCGTACCCTAGGAGGTTAGACGCAACAGAACATAAACTCGGCTGCTGCCTGCCCCCTGTTGGCCTCACCTTGCCAGTGATGCTGGTCAGAGAGCCCAGAGACCCGAGGAGGCATTCTGTGGTGGTACTGAGCTTCTGGGTGACCGTGGGGAGATCCTGCTCGATGCCCGCCTTCTGGTTGTAATGCTTTGACATCTCTAAACGCAAAAGACAAGAGATTAATCGTTTTCCTGGTTTGTTTTTCCACATTTTTGCAATTTAACTTAAATTTACTTTGTGATATTTGAGCCATTTGAGCACCAAAGAGTTTAGCTTATTCAGAAGATTTTTCCTTCTGTTAGTTTTTTTTTTTAATATTTAACTTTACTTACAAATTTATTTTTAATAGAAACACACTGAGAGCTCTTCAATTCCTTCAAAAGTTTGTTTCTCTTCAGAATCCTCTTCGGCATACTTGCTCCATTTTTGTCTTCTTATGCTATTTTAGCTGCTGTTGTTGTTACTTTTAGCTAGCCCTTTTGCTTTTTCGGCTTTTTAGCTAATGTTCTACTTCTTCCAGCTCTTATCAGGCGGTCTGACTTTTTTTAGCTTTACCAACTCGGTTTCAGCTCCTTCAGCAAATTTCAGCAAGCATCGTTCACATTGATTTTTCATTAAAAAAATGTAATTTCTCTTGTATTACTAAGGAATATTGTATTTTTTTTTTAACATCTTTTGAGTTTCTGTCCAGCTTTGACTGTCTGGCATTCAAATAGTGCGCTGTAGATTTTCACCTGCAGTAAAAGTGGAAGTAGTACAACCAGAATAAACACATGGCACGTATAGGGTGTGAATTTTGTGAATGGGGAAAGCAGCTGAGCAGATGCATGTGAGAAATGTGAGCTTGTGTGAACGGCTCTGAGTCACGAGCGCTGCTCACCTTTAACGGCATCATGAAGACTGTGCAGGCAGGCAGCCAGCTGGGTGAAGACAGCTGAGGTGCTGCTCTGCGGCACGGCATCCTGCCGAACACCTGAAACACACGGCACAAGCGTGAAGCAAACAACCCGTAGAAAGAGCTTAAATTGTCCCAGGGATTAAAGCAGAAACAAATATTTTGACTGAAATGTTTTCTACACTAGTACCCAAGCATCATCACTGTGTACATGACCTTAGTAAAAGTACACAGTATCGTGTTCTCTAATGAAATGTTGAGTTGTAAGATTTTAAACAGCAGCATTTAGATTTTCAAGACCAATATTCTGAAGGAAGAGGAGTTTTGATCAACTTTTCTGTAGTTTACTTTTATGTCATTTCAGTGTTTTCAACTGAAGGGCTGTCAAATATATACATTAAAAAAAAAAAAACTGTAGCACAGGAAGTCCTTTGCAGAATATAAATTACCGCAACTTAAAACGATTATTTTTTATTTGCCAGATTTCTCCTCCTAAAATTAGATTATTTTTAAAAAATGTCAATTTTATATTACATGTATTTATTTTTCATATTTGGGGCGGCTGTGGCTCAGTGGTTAGAGCAGTCGTCCTCCAATGCAAGAGTTGGGGGTTCGATTCCACCGGCAGTCACATGCCGAAGTGTCGCAGTCCATTTAACCTTTATACATTTGATTATTTATTGAATTACACGTATCACGGTATAATCACCACTCAGTATAAAATTTAGCTCCTCCAAGCAGCCACAACTCATTGTTGTTGCTAAAACAGTGTAGAAATGAAGTTTGCAGATATTTATAGTAAACTACAAACACCTGAAACTTACTCTCTCACAGACTTTGTGAGTTTGGGGAAAATTTTTTGTTAAACAGAGAAACTGCTATAATCTGGTGCATAAAAATATTGGTCTTTTAGCATTAATATTATTTAATTATAAGAACTAAAGCAGCAAACAGCCTGTCTCAACGTGAAAAACAATCAGGCTGCAAGTTCCTACGGCAAATCTCAGTCCTAGAGTTTGGTCACGCGTGCATGTTGCACATGTCTGTATGATGATGATGAAGATGCTCCAAACACATCAACATTTAATACAAAGTTAGATTTTAGATGCAACAGTTCAGAGAAGGTTGGTTCTTAATTTTACATACAAAGAGTTTTTAAGGCTGCACGGACACCCTGTTAATCCTTACATGAAAAACGTTACTAATTATTCTTAAGAAAATAAATATTCTTCATGAGCATGCAATAAGAATCCCAACACAGCACTAACGGTGACAGATGACAAGAGCTTTGAGACTAAATCAGCTGATGTGTGTTAACCTACTGGGTAAGGCCAAAAGGTTAATGTAGCTCTGCAGCTTCTCAAACACAGATGTTACTTTCTTCATGTCGCTCCGTAGCTCTCGGTTTTTGGCGGTCAGAGCAGCTGTGCAAAGAGGTGCCTCGCACTCTTCTTCCAGGCTGAAAACACAAGATCGCAACCATTAGCGCAGCCTCACCCTCCACTCCCCCCTGCTCTCTTTCTCAAACATAGCGCTGACCTTTTCAGCTGGTACGGAAGAATCTTTTGCAGAAAGTGGGTGTATGAGGAGAAATTCTCAGTGAAAGTCTTCAACGTGACAACAGTCTCCTTCAATTCAGCATAAGCAAAGAACTTTATTTAGAGTTGTTTTATTAAAAAAAAAAAAGCTTTTAAACATCCTGTCCTGAACTCACCAGAACTGTGACTGTGTCTTCTGTGATGCTTTGGTAAAACTGCAGAAAGCTGTCCTCCAGGGGGCGCACATAGGCAGCGTTCTCATGTAGATACTGGGAAAACTAGAAGTCACACATCAAAGTTAGAAGGAGTGCTCCACATGAACAAACAGTTTGTGTTCTGCATCTCACTGACCTTCTCGTTTAGAGGAGAGATGATCTCAATGGAGGAGTCCAGGGGATAGATGTGCACTCTCTGCTCTGTGTACGTGTGGAAGTTTAACAGAGCTGCCACCAAGTCCTGGATGAAGCTCAGGGCCTGGCCCGTGACGTCCCGGGCTTTAAGCTGAACACACACAAGCACACAGCTGATTTAGTAGCCTCTTCTTTTTATGAATTTAAGCATCAATTTGTAGCACATGTCTGTCCCTGTAACATTTGCACATTGTATGTGCAAATGTAAATGCAAAAGAAATCTGTTAGCACTTAGAATAACTCTTAGCTGCCATCGCACCAAATTTTACCTTAAAATCTGTAAAACTGGTTATAATATCACCATTTTGGTGTTTAGTAAAATCACTCAACTGTAGCACACATTTTAAATGGGGTTGACTCCAAACGTATAGTAGTTGTAGATATATATACCCGGTGACTACTTTCAGTGAGTTTCACAGAAATCCACCCAGTGGTTCATGAGATATTTTGCTAACAATACAAGCAAGCACATGCATGCACTTGGGCACAAAATAGCTGTAAACTGATCAAACAAAAAAGGTTTAAAAGAGGAACTAAATCACTAAACATATTCACTAAATTTCAGGTTCATTAATCCAGGTATAAATCCAGCAATGTTCAGTCATGTCATCTGATTCTGGATGGTTTATTTTGCTGCTGAGATGTTTCATCCTTGATCCGAAGGACCTCTTCAGTCTGACGAGCCCACCAACCCATACTGAATCCCATAACCAACTCACTCCCAGAGTGGAAAAAAACAGTTTGCTGGTGATAAGATGGCCTCCGGGGCCCGCCCTCTGCCCCGTCAACTCCTCTAAAGCAGACCATGCCAGTGATTCAAAACACCAAAGCTCATGCTCATTAATCCAGGTATAAATCCAACAATGTTCAGGCTCCTCAGACTGAAGAAGTCCTTCGGATGAAACATCTCAGCAACAAAAGAAACCGTCCAGATGGCCTGACTGAACATTGCTGCACTAAACACATTGTTTTCTCACTCACCTGATGCCTTCGATTGTGTGACGGTACATTTAGGCTGTTGTACTCACTAAATTCTGCAGAACGGGAGAGAAAAGCACTAAAATGAGCTCAGAATCTCAACTTCAGCACCAAGATCTACTTGTATGACTGACCCAGTTTCAAGTGCAATATGAAGACAAAACTCACTCCAACGCATCAGCAATAAAAATGTAAATGTTCTCATTGGGTCGTCTACTCAGAGGCAGACTGGTTTGTCGTGGTGGCTCTGGGCCAGTTCGGTACTCACTGGTGTCATTGAAGGGCACTTTCTCCTGAATTACGCTGCTGCTTTGTTTCAGCTGACTTCTCAGCTCTGATTGACATCGCTTCAACTGCTGCTGACTGCAGACACACGCCCAAAAATTATTAGATTACAATATTCATTTTCTGTACATGGTATATTTTCTTTTTTAAGAGTTAAAGTAGACCATGGTAAAACTGGAGGATTCATATCCCTCTCAAGCCGTTACAAAATTAGGTTTACCATTCTTCTGTTCGCATCCTACACTCTTTTGCTTCTCTTTCCAGTGTTTGTACTTTCACCTGTCAGACGATATGAAAAATACAATTTTTTTATTAAATGCCATCAGAACTGCTAATCTCTCAAAATGAGTGTTTCCTCCTGGATATCCTGACCTCCAAACATGCTTTGTTGTTCTGCAGCCGTTCGTTTGTTTCCACATACTTTGTGGTAAGGCTGTCTACAACAGCATGGTGCTGCTCTGTGTTTCTTTCCAGCTCCTCTAGTCGGGCCCTCAGCTCAGCCTCTCTCCTTTTGTGCTGCTGATCCGCTTCGTAGAACTAACAAATACATGGAAAAGTGAAGAGCATTGCATGAATGCCCTCACAATAACTCAATGTTGGAAGTCAAAAATAAAAAAAAAGTGCAGCCACCTACTTGTATATGTAGCCGCTCATTCTCTTCTATTTTTTTCTGCAGGTCTTCATCAAAAACATTTTGGGTCTGTAGGCTATGATGCTGAGAGGGAGAGTCTCCTTTGTTCTGAAACAAGAACAAGAGCCGTTAATATTTTAACTACAGAAATTTGGGCTTTTTTTTTTTTTTTTACTTGAAAAATTTATGAACACTCCCAAAAAGTGTATATTTTCATGACCATTAAAAAGAAATACAGCCTTTCCCCCTCATCCCAACACCCTTATTTCCCCCTCATGGTCACCTTCCCCTTTTTGCCCTTGGCTTCACTAGCAGCGAGCTCCTCTTGTAGCAGCTCCACCCTCTTGGCAAGCTGTTGGTTCCTGAAAGTGAGGCTGTCCATCTCCTGTTCCTGCTTTCTCAGGCTCTGGTCCCTTTGCTTCAGCTGATCCTAATGTGAAGATTAAAATACAATAAAAATACTGGCTAACATAAATCTGCAACTGGATTTGGGGTAAATATTGCACTTGTTTAAATCAACAAAAATGATCCCATCTGGAATTCCCCATAAATAAGACATGACTTTAATTTTTACACGGCCAATAAAACGGATTATTGTGTATGTACTTTTAGAGCAGTAGAGTTGGCCTGCTCGTCTACAACAGCCTTCTTCAGCACCTGGTTCTGGGCACGGAGCTGTAAAAACACAAACACATAAAACTTAAAAGTCTACTAATGTGAAAGTTAAGTTTTATACCAACAAAATGCTCTGTTCTTCACTCATCCGTTGCAGCTTTATATCAATTCTGTGCACAATGAAGAGTCACCAACTGTTCAAAATTCAATGATGTTCACTATAAAAAAAACAAAACTAGTGCATTTTTTTTATTTTTATTAATAAGTAATAGAAGCAGAGAATGTGTGTTGCTCTTTCATAGTCAGCACTTTCTTGTGCAGGGTAATGGAGAGATCAGAGATCAACAGGAAATGGCTCAAACTCCCTGAGATGTCAGCTGACACACAAACACAAAGAGCACTTGCAGAAAGAACACAGCTCCACAGAAAACAGGCTTTAAATGACTGCTTCCAGATCAGTGTTTTACTGCTTTTTCTGCATTGTGGTTACTTAATTAAGGCAGCACACTGACAGTCAGCGTTCAGTCTTTAACACATAACAGTAACAAGTGTCATAAATGTAAAAAAGTATATAGTTTTACCATTCAAAGTCCAAAGAAAACATTTAAAAGGTTGTAAGAAAATCTGAGAGCAAGATCAATTTAAAAGCTTTATAATGCTCGACTCATTATAGAGTCAAGTGTAAAAAATCATTTGGGTGGTTAAAACTCCTGTTTAAATCTATATGTTGGTGCAGTTACTTCTACATTACATAAAAGTGTGCAGTAATTAAGTTTCATAATAATCAAGGTAACTTGGAAGCATGAAATCTGAATCGTTTCAGTTGCACAGTCTTCATTGACAAATATTTACCTTTGAATACTCCTGCGCCAGCTTGCTGTATTTGGTCTGCAGGTCTGCAGCCATGTTCGCTGGGAATCCGTAAACAGTTGATGCTGTTAAAAAAAAACTCGGGTGTCCCAGCGAGCCGAGCCGGTGATTAGTTTACCGTCGTCTGGTTTTATCAACTACCCAGAAGCTACACAAGCTTACTCATTGTGATAAACAGGGACAGTCAGGAGTCCCTGATAACGAGCAAGACGTTCATCCTTCGATTTACACTACCAGCTCATTGCTACTTAAATGTTTTAAGCTAACACAGTTAGCAGCTAAGCTACCTATGTAGCAACAAAAATAATGCCGACACCGACGAACAGACGCGGGAATCCAGCGGCGTCCGTGAATTATTTGTCTTTAATATTCAGGGTTGCCACTGCTTAAGCACTGAAGCCGTCCCAACGTTGCTCGTTTAAAGTATGATTCTAATGATCCAGCTAGCCAGCAAATCTTTTCCTCAAATGAGAACCGATCGGAGACAACAGAACAAAGGTCAAAGTTCAGGAAACTGCAGAGCGGTTGTTGCCACAGCGCCCCCTGGCGACTGAAAAACAGATAGGTGGACGAAGAAACAATGAAATGGAGCGTCACTGAACATTTCAAAACGTGCTTTAAATGCTAAAAAACAAAAAAAACACACACACAAAAAATAAAAAATAAAAAATTAATAAAATTTTTTTTATATATATATATATATATATATATATATATAATAGAGTTGTTGGAATAAATTAACTTGAACATTTCTACATGTACGGAATGTGTTTTTGTTTGTTTGTTTGTTTGTTTGTTTGTTTTTTAAATCCAGGTGCAAATTTGTGATTGTGACTTAATTGAGTTGGTTTTAATTCAATGTTCAAAGTCATGAAGACCAAACCAAAAATAAAAAAGAATAAATAAATAAATTCACACAATACTTTTTTCATACTGATGAGTGTTTAATCTCAGATAAACAATGTTATTAACGTACTTTTTATGTATATGAATGTTTCTGTACAGTGCTCTCTGTTGTGACTTGGCGCTATATAAATAAACTGAATTGAATTATCTTTGAATACTCCTGTGCCAGCTTGCTGTATTTGCTGCGTTTCCTTAAATAAAAAAAAATCTCTAATCATAATTAGTGACCATTTGCCAACCACCATGTGTTTGTTTACCTACAAGTGAAGTGACTGAGAATGAGTCAGACACTAAAGTTACCGACTGCTCACAGACTATCTAATGTAGGTCAATCACGTGACTCAAGCTTTCGTGTGCTTTTTTTCTGGATTCGACTTTTGTTTACATTGAGTGTGGACCTGCAGTTCACAATTCACAAACTACTGAACCTTTTCAACCTGCACCATTTCATAGAATTCAGGATACCCTTTTTTTATTTTTGATTTCATACTTTGCAACGACTACCAATTTATTTACCAAAAAGGAGGAGTAAAGGTTTTTTTTCCCTCCTCTTGCATTAACAAAAGTCAATTTAAAGACAAACAGCAGCTTTAAAAAGTAAGAAACAGATTCTAAATCATTTCAAATAGGTTTCTCGTAATATTAGTTTTGTTGGGACAATTTGATGTACCCAGCTAATGAGGTTAAAACTGCAAACCGTTGTGGCTGCATCCATTTCTATGTGCGGCATACTAAAATTTTTGATTAATTTAAGTATTTAAATTGATCCATAATACAGTCACTGCTTGATTTTACCGTTTTACAGGTTGCAGCACAAAACAAAACAAGGTCAAAACAAAGCTGTGGCGCTGCGAGGACGAGCCTGTGGTTTCCCTTTAAAATGCTGGTGACCTCATTTAACGCAGAAGTGAAATGACGTGCTGCTAACGCACCCGTCAAAGCACAAATCCTACGTGATTAATTTCATCTAATCCATCCTAATCTCTGTAGATTTTCACCGCGTATCACTGCAGTTTGATACGTTGGATGTGCTTAAACGTATGCGGGCGAAACAAACTCGTGCACCGCAGCCAGTGGCTCCAGCATTGTCTGGTTGCCTGGCAACTGTTGGCGTGGCGTGGTTGCTAGGGCTGCGTGTGTGGAGGGGAGGAGGGAGTGATGCTGCTCTGATTTCCAGCTGAATTGAGGCAGTCAGTAGGGAGAAGTCCCCCCTTCTCCTTCTCTTCCAGTCGACACACAGGACTCTATTGAACAATAGAGCTGTGTCAAAGGGCCCGAGGCCAGTCAGACGAGCCCTTGTTCAGGGTCACACTGTGTTCATCCCACAGTCCTCCATGACTAATTAACTTACAGCGAAGAGTGTCGTTAGCACATTTGATGTTGCATCCATCACAGGCTCTCAGCCCTGGAATTTACACCGTTGCGAGGTACGTCTCTGGCAGCCGGCCATGCTGGTGCACTCCAAACACATGCCGTAGGAAGCAAGATTTTAAAAGGGAAAGGAAAGCAAGGTGGAGCTGCCACTCTTGGTGCCGAGCATAGCTTGTGCAGTCAAAACAAGAAGCGAACTGCTGGACTGGATGAGAAATATTTGCAGACTGTGACGCGGACGTGGGAAAACTGTACGGCTCTGATTGCAAAGTTAAAGGGACTCAGTGTGACGATGAAAAGGCCGATCCAAAATGCAAGAACCAAAATCTGCTAATTAGTTTATTTTGGATCAATGGTTAAAATCAGAGTTTCTTTATCGTCGTTCGCACCACATGTGGCACATGTGGTGCGAACGACATGTACACAGGGTCCCAGTTACATCCAACAATAAAACGTAAAAGAAAAACAGTAATAAGATCTAAGATATGAACTAAGAAAAACATCAACTAAAAATACACTAAGCACTAGTAGCGTTAAAACAATACGCCGAACAGCAGCACGGACATTAAATGAGTCCTCGTGGCTCAGTGGGACCTGTAAGATTGAATGAATGAGTCTGTGTGAGCAGATGAGTATGAATGAACACAGCAGCATGAAACAGATCAGCAGCATGAAACACATCAGCAGCAACATGATGTGATTTTTCACAGTGATTATTCTGGTTAGAGATTCATGAGTCTAACAGACTCAGGGTAGAAGCTGTTCCTCAGTCTAGTGGTTCTACACTTAATGCTCCTCAACCTCCTTCCTGAAGGGAGCGGAGCAAAACGTGTGTGTGTGCTGGGTGAGTGGGGTCCTTCATGATGCAGGTGGCCCTCTGCCGGTAGATGTAGGTGTAGATGTTAAAAGAGTCCTTAAATAAAATTAAAATAAATGTAAGCAAAATACTTATAAACAGCTGCCACCAAACACTTGAGTTTGTTTAATAAAAAAAAACACCCAAAGTGATTAAAAATAGGTAAAAAATGGTGGCGTCAATGAAAGAGCCACTGGAAATGTTTTGCCCCGCTCCCCTCAGGCAGGAGGTTGAGGAGCATTAAGTGTAGAACCACTAGACTGAGGAACAGCTTCTACCCTGAGGCTGTTAAGACTCATGAATCAGGATTATCACTGAGAAAAAAAATCACTGTAATGCCACTTGATTGCTGATACGTGTTGCCGATTATCCATGCTGCTGATCTCACGCTGCTGATTAATTTCATGCTGCTGTGTTCATTCGTACTCATCTGCTCACACAGACTCATGTTCGTGCTGCCGTTGTTTGGCGTATTGTTTTTGTACTATTAGTGATTAATATATTCTTAGTTTAGCGTATTACTCAGTTCATATCTTAGATCTTATTACTGTTTTTCTTTTACAATTTATACTTCTGTTGGATCTAACTGGGACCCTGTGTACACAATTCCGTTCCACCACATATGATGCGAATGACAAATAAAGAAACCTTGAAATTAAGAGGTCTGGTCCGTTTTTATAAAGTGGTACATATTTACACTCACGATTTGCTGAGCAAAGAAGTACTTTGTTTACAGTGAGTGCATACCTGCACTTCAGCATTACACATTCAATTCAACTCAGTTTATTTATAAAGTGCCAAGTCACAACATAAGTCATCTTAGGGCACTGAACAGAAACATTCATATACCAGTATAGAAGTTAATAACATTAAGTATCTGAGGAGCAGACTGCTTTGAATTTAACTCCGTCACAGAACTCTCATCTTGAGCAAGCATGAAGGCGACAGTGGAAAGGAAAAACTCCCTCATGAGGAAGAATCCTCCAGCATAACCAGGCAAAGGACAAGCGGCCATCTGCTTCAACTGGCTGGGTTTGAGAGGAACAGGTCAATTTGTCCTCCATTAGTTTAAGCCTATAGCAACATAACAAGCTAACCCTAACTATAGGATTTATCAAAAAGAAAAGTCTTAAAACTGGACAATGTGTCGGCCTCACAGACAGAAACTGGAAGTTGGTTCCACAAGAGAGGAGCCTGAGAACTGAAAGAGTTTCCTCCCATTCTGCTCTTGGAAACTCTAGGAACACAAGTAAGCCTGCAGTCTGACAGCAAAGTGCTCTGCTATGAAAATATGGAACAATAAGATCTGTAATTATAAGATGGAGCTAGGTTGTTGAGGGCTTTGTAGGTTAGAAGTAAGATTTTGAATTCTATTCTGAATTTGACAGAATTAAAGAACACATTCGGAAAACTACAGGAGAAAAAAAATTCAAACTGCACTGACTGAGTATGATCTTTTTTTTTATGTTTGATTTCATAGTTTGCAATAAGGACCTTTAATACAAAACAAGAGCGTTCCATGAGGGTTTACATAAGAGCAGGCCAAAATAAACTTAAACACGAAGAAAATAACAAGAGAACAGGATTTTATTAATATTTTGTAATACCATATATAATGCAATTGCATATCTTTGGCGAAAATAAATCTTATAAACATTTTATCAACAGAGGTTAGCATACAAAAACCAAAAAAGTGTGTCAGTCCAACAGACATGGCAGACAACAGATAAAACTTATACTGGGTTGGCAGCTTTGTCAAACGCAAAAAAAAAAAAAAAAACACCCAAAAGGAACTGCAACAAAAAATAAAATCACATAATATCCAATAACTGTTGAGCAATGAAGCAATTAACTTAAAATTTTGTTGTTTGAGTCCTGGCACCTGAAAACTAGCTCGCACATCGGTTCTGTCCTTTGAGGACCAACAAATCTTTATTTATGCAAAGCTATAAAAAAAAAAAACAAACACTGAAAACTCCATAATTTTTCTGCAATTGTCATTATATTTAAATGCAAGTCTGACTCTGCGCGGCAGCTGCCTGACCCGAGTCGGTCCGATCCAGTTTACAGTGATATTTCAAACATTCCAGCATCCCATAATAACACTTGGAAGCATGAGCGGCAGTCGTTTTTACTTTTAAAGAATCCAATCTGCGATTCTGACAGTTTATTTTGACTATTCAAGTCAAAAACCCTTAAACATCCAGGAGACAACGAAAGAACTGGTGCAGGCCCCCGGGAATGCAACTTCGCTCTACACCGGTTTTGGCAGCAAAACGTTTTCGAGATCTACGATAATTTACCGTCTTCTATCCAGTCTATTGAACGAACAGCAAAACAAAGAAGAAATTGGCAGTCGTGGTTAAAGTGGGGGTAAGAAACTGCTTGGCAAAATCCTAAATCGCTGTAACAACAAAGTCTATTGCTGAAAATAAACGAGGAGGAAAAACTCAGTAGGAGTTTTTTTTTTTTTTCACATGACCAGTGTTTGATAAAGTATCTATTCAAAAAATAAATCCCATAAATTAAAATTATAAATAAAGTGATTAATAACGAACAGTTTGTTCTTCTTTTTCACAGCTAAACAAGACCAGTGTATGCCAGAGAACTGAAGTTTATATTGCAATCGACAGTTCCAGCTCCAAAAAAATAAAAAAAAGGCGATGATGTCACTGAAGCCGTCTATTTCCTTTTTCCATCACAGAACTTAAATACATCATGGCAGCAGGGGAATTTAGTGGCTTTGGCCCTTTACATCAGTGGCACATGAAAATGTTTGGCACCGACCCACACAAACCCAAGTGACACTACAGCAGGGAGGAAAAAAAAAATTTAAAGTGCACGCTAATCTTGCACCCTGAATGAAAGCTCAGCTGACATTTGTTGCCATCTACACGAAACATGTAGCAACTTCCCTTCTGTGAGCTGCATGCAATCAACAGACACCAGCTCCATTTCACAGCTTGAGAACGTGAACTTCCTTATTTTGTTCTAGCGGGAAGAGCGACGACGAAACGCTCCCGACCAGACAGAGCTGAGGTCAGCACGGGTCTTCGGTTTCTCGCATGCGACTGACAAAGTTCGGTTCTCTTTAGCTGCGACGGTCCCATCCAACTGGAAGATAATCTACGACGTCTCAACTAAATCAGACACACATTCTTGTAAGTGGTTTACTACTCCTCTACAGTGGAGAAACAGTAAACCGCTTGTTTTTTTTCTGCACACCATAATAAAGCATGTGCACATGTGACACCATGATTGGGTGAGGGGGGAAAGAGGGCGGGGCTTAAAGACCCACATCTCTAGAGCACAGACTCTGGTTCCAAAACACACAAAAAACAAGATTTTGTGGCTTCGATTATCAAAATCGAGAGAAAGCGGGGACACTCGGGCTACCAATATATATAACTTTGGACCTAACGCACAGATGAAACAATAAAAACGTGTTCGATTATTAAACCACGTCAAAAAAAGAATAAAAACAAGTGTGTGACGTAGTTTCAAACTATTCATAGTGACCATCATAATAAAATCAGCACATAAATAACCTACAACCACACAGTGAACATCTGGCAGTGTGTGGCAGATGTTCACTTTGCATAGGCTGCCACCAAACATGACATCACTTTTCCAAATTAAAAAAAAAAGTCACACACGTCAATGAAAATGACTGACAGGATGAGCAGTGGGTCGGCAAACAGTGAATGGCAGCACAAAAAACTGAGCAAAGAACTCAAACTAACCTCGTCACTGAATTTGGCAGTGGCAGATTAATACTATTTCCACACCTCGTCTATTCTGAAGCGGAGCCGGAGCTCGTGTGGATTAGGATCTTAACAATACTCCGTTTGTTTTCTTCACTGGAAAGATGAACGACGAAAAGTCTGCCATAAATTAACGTCAGAAAGTTAAGGTTGTGGATTAATTATTGCATGTTTCACAAGAGGACTCATTGAGAAAGAGATACTTTTTTTGAAATAGTGGCGCTCTGTTTTTTTTTTTTTCTTTTCTTTTCTGTCTTTTTCTGTAGCACAAGGAAAAACTGGTAACACCAGGAGGTTAGATTTTGTTTGTTACAAACATGCACTCATTTGCTTCATAAATAGATTCACTTGGAAGAGGATAGAGGTTTGTGGAGGAAGCATGCAACGCTTTCAGTTATAAATCCTTCAGCTTTTTCCCCCCTTTTTTTGTCTTTTAAAAAAAAAAAAAAAAAAAAAGGAATCTTGAATCACAATATTCTCATCCGGCAGAAGCAGGCAGATCGTTTTTGGATAGGTATCTTGACCATTCTCCGTTGCCCAAATACCCACCCTCCCCAGGAGTCCCCCCCCACACCCTTGAGTTACTCTATATGGCTTTGTTCTCCTGTGTGAACGATACTATTGCCATTTGTTTGAAGGACAGAGATACTCCTAACCAAAAAAAAAAAAAAAAGGCTCAAAATGGCCAAAGAACGATCAGGTAAGGAGAATGAGGCACACTGGGACACACGCTCGGGGGTCAGAGGATAGGTTTCACAGGGTCCGGAGTCTTTTGGGGGCCAAAGGACCTTCATTTCCTGTTAAGTTTTGTGCTCTTGACAGTGCGTTTGGACCCTTCTGTGCAGCTCCGTATACCGGCGAGATGTAGCAAGGAGCCGGCAGCTTCCTTCAGTTCCTCGTCCAGCTCCGGCTTGACCTCGCGCCGGGCCCTCTTGCTAATAGGCCACTTGATGGCGGACGACCGTCGAGAAGTTTGCTGGACGCCCCTCTCGTCCCAGAGGTCGGAGTCCTCGTCGCTGTGGAAACCCTCGCTGCCAGCGCGGCGAGACTGTCCGCGGTCGCAGCCGCCTTCGTCCAGGGAGGAAAGGGAGGAAGAGGAGGAGCGGGAGGAGCAGCGCTGCAACGCCACACTGCTGTAGTTGTGGTCCTGCTTTGGATCGCTACTGACCAGGACAGCATCGGGTCGGGAGAGGTCCAACGGAACGTCAGCATTACCTGAGAAGAGCAGAAGATCCAAAGATTGGCAGACATACATACATCAGACCTTTTACCAGCTTGTAATAAGGAATAATAAACTTTAATAAACACAAAGTCTATCGTGACTTCTGGAAATATGAAAAGCAGAATTTAGACATGCCCTTTATGTTCAGGTTTAATCTTTTTTGTTTTGCAGTAAAAGTAAAAAGCTACGACCGAGCTAAAGGGCCATGCTAAGAAAAAAAAAGTAAAGCTATAAAATTACGAGAATAAAGTCACGAGAGACTTTTTTTTTTTTTTTTTTGCAGCTCTCGTTTATTTTTTCCACGAGTCAGATCCACGACGCGACCTGTCAATCAATCCAGTAGGCGTGTCGGCAAATGACCAAGCCGAAGCTAAATGCTCCTTACCTGCAGAGAGTTGGAATGTACCACCTTACTGTTAGCCGGTTCAAAGTCCTGATACTGATAATAATCTGATGCTGATGTGCTAACAGATTATCTCTTTATTTGTAAAACAAATACAAAAGTATAACTTAACAAGATGATCAACATTCATCATTTTACCACAGTTAAAATGAGGTAAACCCTGCTTTATCGTGTCGGAGTTTGGATAATATTACGACTCATTTAGCTTCGGATTGGTGATTTGTTGACACGCCTACTGGATTGATTCACAGGTCGCGTCGTGGATCTGACTCGTGGAAAAATAAATAAACGAGAGCAGCCAAAAAAAAAAAAAATCTTGTACGACTTTTTTCTCATAATATTAAGACTTTATTCTCGTAATTTTATGGCTTTTAATTATTATTTTTTTTCTTAGTGCGGCCCTAAAGCTCCGTTGTAAAAAGCAGAACTAAGATATGTCTTGGCCCAAAAGGGAAAAGCTGCTTTCAAAAATAGTTTACTGCACGCATGAGAAAGCAGAATCAACACAGATAGAAACAGTCCTACGGTAATCTTAGCAACAACAAAAAATCTTTTTTTAAAAACAGCTGCAATAAATACAAAATTATGAAATGCTGGAAATGAGACTAGGGCAGAAAAGGTCAACTTATCAACTTCAAGGAAAAACATGACAAAGTTTTCAAAATCACAACTTATTATCTACAATGTTAAAAGATCTGATAATGCTAACAACACTGTGAAACTGAGTTTATTTGTATGTACCGGTATTATAAGGAAGTAAGAAGTATTTCCACACATAATTTGTAATGTAATCAATAAGACACTTGCTTAGCAGATGCTATCAGCCATGAAGCCATGTAGCATAAAATACCCCTAAAAGAGCAGATTGCAAATGCATTTTTAATTTAGAGAGGAATTTATAAAAGAAGATAGAACAATAAAACTACTGTTGGAAATGCTGCAGTTTGATGGAGCAGCTAACCTTGTTTTCAGTCTTTGTACTGTGCAAAGTTGAGCTAAGCTAGTGATGAGTCCAACAGCCCTGAACCGACTCAGACCAAATGAGCCAGTTCCCAGAGAAGAGCTGCAAGTGCAAGTATGAGCTAAGCTAAGCTAAGCTAAACTAAGCTAAGCTAAGAGAATTGGCTGTTATCACCAGTTTCCAGAATGTCAAGCTCTTCAGTGCGTTTCAAAACAAATATCAATGGGAATAATTATTTACAATCAGGAAGTAGTAGCATTCCTAAATCATAGATCTAGAACTCAAGCTTTACATGACATATAAAAGCACACGAATTAAAATAAAAAATAAAATAAGCAATGGCTGGGAGGCATGAAAGAGGTGCGAGACAAAGTGTAGGTGAAAGCTTGGCTGCTTGTGGATTTCCTTACATGGGTCAACGTGGTGCCCGGGGGCAGAGTTTAAGAGCATCATGGCAGTGGCAGCATCAATATCAGACTCTGGAAGAGGAGAGAACATGCATGATGGTCAATCTAAGGTATGAAAGCATGGCGGCATGGCATCTCTACTCTGACTGGGTGGATTGGATTCGTCAGTAAATGTTGGGCTTGGCTCAGGGCGATCCAATCAGCGTTTACTGAATGTTTTAGAGGACAAACAGAGACAACCCAGAGAAAAAATAAATAAAGCCACTGACAGAGAGAGTGCATCTGATCTTCTTAGATCCAACAAAGTGTCTGAAAGCCTCGGAGCTCACTTCTGGAGCTCTAAATTATTAATGATCACAGTGAGACTGAGTGCTCAGCACTGAGCACCAGCAGAAACTCTGCCTGTTGTCAAGGTTACAAATCCAAGAGGCGAAGAGGGGAAGGGGGTGAGGGTGGCCGAGACATCGAATGAGAGCTCTTAATGTTATGGTCTACATGAGGCATCAATGAACTGAAAGCAGCACATCAAACCAAGAGCTGAGGACAAAATGATGCTGGATGTTTTGGGACTGAGATGTGGCAAAAGCAACACAATCAAAATAGTGCACAAACACAAATTAGAAACACTGCACTATTTATTCTTGTTTGGCAGACAGCTTCTATTATTCCTATTAAAATGTCACAAACTAAAATATTTCTCCCTTTGGTCTCACCTTTGAATGAGCAGCCTTGAAGAAAGAGATGACGAGGAGGTGAGGAGGCACTGCAGAAAGTTAGCAGAGGACATGGTCAGATTTTGTGGTCTTGAGAAAAATAAAGAATAGGTCCGTACAAACTTCCTTAATACGAATGTGTGAATTCAACAACTGGTTAAAGTTAAAAAGTTAAGGTTAGGGCTGGTTAAGGTTAAAAGAGCAAATTCCTGCTTGACAAATCCGCAACAGTTACCTGGGTGGGGAGGCCGGGGGCGTGCAGAAGGCATGTGCGGCTGGGAAGTGCTGCTTCTTCAGGGCTTGGATGAGGTTGGGGCGATACTCGGGGTCAACACACCAGAGGGAACCTTTCCCATTGACCTGTAGGACAGAGCAGGCTCAGTCACACCTCCAAACACACAACAAGAGACTTGACGGAAAATTAGTGGGAGACTTAATTTTTTTAAAGGTTTTCATTATATGCATGCATTCATTCAACCTTTATTTATACAAGTTGTCTTATTGAGCCATGAGGACTCATTTACAAGAGGGACCTGTTCCAGACCAAACATATAAAGTACAGACAACAATAACAATAAACAATGACAACAATACATTACAGTAAAAAATGTAGTTAAAATAAGAGTAGTATATAAAACAATAAATCAGGGTGTCATAAAACGGGGTGAAATACTAAAGACAAGAACATATCTGCCTTAATTTTTCCATTGACATTATCAAATGTTTGAAACCCCTTAAAGAAATCAAAGTGGACAGCTTCAGTTCTTGTTGCAAGGTGTTCCAATTTGCAGGAGCCGAGTAGGAAAAGGCCTTTTTGCCAAGTTCAGTCCGCACTGAGGGAACGCTGCAGGTAATGATGTCCTGAGAGCGCATGTTGTCACTGCACTGACGACGTGACACGTGGGAGGAGATATAAGAAGGCAGCAGACCAAGGAGGGATTTATAGATGAAAATGAACCAGTGTTAGAGCCTATGTGTAGATAATGATGACCAACTGACCAAGGAGTACAGTGCAGTGATGGGTATGGTAGTTACAACTAGTTATGAATCTTAGCGCGCCATGGTAGACAGCATCCAACATCTGCAAGGAGCTGGCAGGGGCATTCATGCATTACTGAGGCCTAAAAAATATTCAATTCAGTTTATTTGTATAGCGCCAAGTCACAACAGAAGTCATCTCCAGGCACTAAACAAATACATTCATATACATGAAAATTCACTTATTAACATTATTTATCTAAGGTAGGGTAGGGTAGGGTAGCCAATGGATTGCACTGTCTTCATTTCGTCGCAGTCTCCCATCCTGAGCAAGCAAAAAGGCAACAGTGGAAAGGAAAAACTCCTTCATAACAGGAAGAAACCTCCAGCAGAACCAGGCTCAGGACAAGCGGCCGTCTGCTTCAACCAAACAGGTTCAATACACATTTGCCAAGCATTCTTTATTTTTAATGTTAGCCTGTTTAATTTGGTATCCTGCAGTTCTTTTAGTCTTTCTGAGCTCAGTGTAACACTTCTTCATGGGTTATCATCAGCAACTGTGACCAAGTGATTAGTGAGAAGTCAACAGTAGCAACAGGGGTACTTTCCCCCACTTTACTCCTGATAAGTAAAGAAACGGGTAAAGATCTTTAAAGATTAAAGGGTCCTGCATACTCCATCCAAAGTGGTGAAATCAGCTCTCATTGAGGTAGTTGTGTGACAAATATTGCATAATTTTGTCCTCAGAGCAGCTTCGCCCGACTCTTCTCGACACAAGGCCCGGGCTAGAAGTTTGTGGGCGTGTTCATCAATGCGGAAATACGCTCGGACATTCAGCTGTACGACTAAACAAACACTAAATTAGTCAAAGGACCAAAAACTCCTGGATGGAGATGTGCAGACGTGTATAGAGGAGTCTGCTGAAAAGTGTGGCGATCTCTTCATGATAGATTTGTGGCCAGACGGCAGACGCAGGGATGGAGTGGAGACTCTGGCGGGAAAAAACCAGTGTGGTGACGTATACTGCAGAAGGGAGGGTTTTCCAAGAGCTCTGCGTCTGTGTCTTGCGGACTATGAAAGGTGTGCGCAAAAACAAACGTTGCGCAACCACATGACCACGAGTCGATTGTTCGGCTTCGGATGGAGAAGCATGGGCCCTTAAGGGACACTTTGAAATCGATTTGGGGTGACTTGTACAACTGAGTTACTTTAAATAAACCTTTTTATTTTTTTACTGAAAAATGATGTGGAACCAAAGCTTTTTGCAGATTTGTTGCCACGTAAAAAGCACTTGATACCAAAGTTGTTTTGAACAATTATAAACTTGTATACCTTTTAAACAAAACACAAACTATACTGGCAAACATCATTAGCACCTGTAGCTAAATGGTACCTATGTGGGAATACAGTACAATAATTCAAATTTCACCACAGTAAGTCTAAGTTTTCCATGAATGTCCAGGCGATGGTTCTCCACTAAAAGTAGACTGATTAGTTATTTAGCCAATATTAGGCACTTTTAAAATATTGAGCTTTTAGCACATTTGTGCAAACTTGTGAATGATTCAGCAAAAGCACATTTTCAAGAGAAGATTATCTTCTATAAATACACATTTTTAGTTGTCCAGGATGTTCTAAGTGGTGTTGAATAAATCTTAACAGTCAAAAAAAGGCAACTGGACTTGATTTATGAATGACATTTTTGAAACTCATCCAGAGAGCTCTCTCAATTAAAACTAAAACGTGTTTAGTTCTTGTTTTTAAAACGCATTTAAATTTAAGTTAAGCACAAATGTTCTAATTTTGCTGAATGGAAAATACATAAGATAAACAAAAAAAAAACATTTTGGTGTTGTACATCAGCTTCAGCGTAGAACGGTCAAACTCTATTCTCTACAGCACAAATTCTGAAAAATCTGTTCAAACTTAAAATATTTAAAGACCTGTACAAACAGGAAACATTTGTTTGACAACACTGTGTGAACAATGACTGCGTCGAGGACCAGAGTGTGCTCCGCTTTATCTGATGGTGGCGTTTTCTGCCTCAGTATAAAACAGAGCGGAGCAGGGAGGGAGGAGAATAACCTTGACTCAGATTACCAACCAGCCCTGATGCAGGAAGAAGGAAATGTCACCATGGCAACGAAAACCACCAGCCAGCGTCATGTGAATCTGGCGCTGGCGTCTCAGCAGACGAAGGGCTCACACTGTGCACCTGCACTGCACCACGCTGCTGCTCACAGCCGTCACCTCCCAAGGTGGGAAAATATCAGGTGCTCAAACCCCCCCACCCCCACCCCCCCCACACACACACACACACACAGCATCAGTGAAGTGAAAGTTCAACTTCCACGCTTGAATTCTGATAGGGCACTTAAAATCCCTGCACTTACATGTTGCAACACATTTAATTACACAAATGATAAAATGGCAATTAAACCCCCTAGTCCAGAGGTGTGCAACCTTTGTGATCAAAAGAGCCATTTCTTTCCCTTCGCTCACTAAATAAAATGTGTCTGGAGCCACAAAACCTGCTACAACTAGGGATGCACAATATTGAATTTTGGCCAATATCCGATATGTTAAAACTTATTTGGCCGAAAATCGTTATCGATATATACTTTCCTTTGTCAGAACATAGCCCTCTTATTTTGGCTTATTGGCTCCAAAAATTGTGTAACAGCTGTAAGAGCTGGTGACATATATTCAGTAACAGCCATATGCATAACACTTTAACTTATATTAAATGAAAAGTGTTAAATATTATTTATTAGCATTAGTCACCTGTGATGCTGTCTCACTTGTGGAGGCTTGTTCTGGGTTTCTAGTTGCAGTGTGGGATCCTCTGCACTCTTGTGCATGAAGGACAGACTTTTTAAGTTCAAAAGTTTTTGTCTATCCGTCGTGCTGAAAGACTAATCATGCTAACGGGGCTAACACGACGTCCAAATGTCTGTGGAAAGACTCACCCAAGTGCTGTCGGCTATTAGCTTCTCATTGATGTCGGAAATGACGGCTTGTAACTCAGGTAAGGCTACGTCGGAAAAATATCCCCGACTGGAGACGATGTAGCGAGGATCAACGTAGTCTAAAAATCTTTGGAATCCGACATCCTCAACAAAAAAAAAATTCCACACCGCCGACATTTTGAAATTGCCTCTCTGCCATGAGATCAGGTAGGTGCGCGTGACATCATCACATTGTGCTGCCGCTGCAGGTATCATTGTCACTGGGTTGTCACAAAAAACAGCGCCTTTTATATCGGTGAGTTATTTTGATGAAAAGTCCGATGTTGAACTTTAACGCTAATATCAGCCGATACCGATACCGATACCATACCAATAATATTGTGCATCCCTAACTACAACTGTGATTATCAACTGATGGCCCATGGGCCACCGAGTTTGTTGGAGGGGGGCTTTTCTGGCCAGTGGGGGTGGCATTATAAAACTAAAATTATATCATGAATTTTAACATTTATTAATATTTTTACATTTTAAGACAAAAAAAGACCATATCACGTAAACAAAAAAAGTTTATACAGATTTTGATTAAAAAAAATTAAAACACTGAACTCTGCAGGCCTATGTGAGGAATAATAAGTAAGCATCGGGCGGGGCTGCAGTAGCTCGGTGGCTAGTGCTGCGGTCTTGTAACCCTGAGGTTGCGGGTTTGAACCCAGGTTGTGTCAGGAAGGGCATCCAGCGTAAAACAAATTGCCAAAACTTTCATGCAAGTGGTGACCCCTGAAGAAGGGAGCAGACGAAAGAAAGTTACTTACTACCGGTACTTCAACAATTTTCCTGTGGGATCGATAAAGTTCTTATCATATCTTACTAATGGTTATTGGGCAAAAATGTACAAAAATATGACAATAAAACGGTCAAAACTAGCCTTTTCTGTTGTGGGTATAAAAATCAATACAATTAAATTTAATTAAGTTTTGGTGAAAGCTTCAAAGAGCTACAGACGAGGGACTAAAGAGCCACATGTGGCCCATGAGCCGCAAGTTGCAGACTCCTGCCCTAGTCAGTTCTTTTCTGTTTTATTTAAAGGAACATTTGCACAGTATATGAAGTATTTGTGTGTTATTTTGTCAAAAGCACATGCAGCTTTAGAATTTTTTAATTGTATGCATGTTAAACTCAACTCAAACAATTAGTGAATTAAAATTGTTCCCACAAACTTTTCTCTGTTTAAAGTTGCTTTATTCCTGCAGCTTGATGTTTAGGGAAACCATCTGGATGTTTCTCCCTGATTCAAATAGTTGAACTATCTTGAAGTGCTACAGGAAATAAGAGCTTTTCTTATTGTGCTGCGTTTGCATTTCCTCTGTAGGAGTGTCTGTAACCTTGACTGGATTCCGCTGTTATCACAGCAAAAGTCACAAAGGTCCCTCCAGCTGTATCAACCTCCCAGACACTGCAACATAACCATGTGGTGTTTTGCTAAATTTCATTGTAACTATTAATATAAAAGTTTTCTTAGTGCGCATTTGTGTTAAGAAGTCAAACCTCTGCACACCTACCTTTCCCAAGCTCCTGTCGACCTTGCGGAAGCATTTGTTTAGAGACAAGTTGTGACGAACCGAGTTCTTCCAGCCGGTGGGAGCGTTGGAGAAGTAGGGGAAGTGCTCGAGTATCCAGCCGTAGATTTCTTTGACGGGCAAGGACTTGCTGGGAGACTGCTCAATGGCCATGTAGATGAGGAGGGAAAATGAGAAAGGAGGCTTAGACTTCAACGAGTCCCGCTCCCTGCCTCTATTGTGAGACAAAGATGATGAAGGGGAGGATGACGGGCCCTGGTTTGACCCGTAATCTCCTTCTATGTCAAAGAGGGAGCTGCCGCTCGGCTGAGCTTCGGGCCCTCCGAGAGTGAAGTTCTGAAGTAGGTTCTCGTGGAGCCAGTTGAGGTTGGTGAGCTCCTCGTCCTCTGTGCCTCCGGTACGATCCACATTCGTCGCGAGCGGGCTGGATGCACACTCTGCCTCGGGCAGGGTTCCCATGCCACAAACACCTCGAAGTCCTGTCCGCTCATCTTGCATACCCGGAATTTCCGTTTTCTTATCTGGTGACATCCCAATGATTGGACCCATTAAATCCAAGTGGTCTGGAGAGAAAAGAAAGAGGAAGTCGTTAGTGTTTCTTGGCTGAAAAAAAACCAACAAAAAAAACGCTAAATCAGAGGTTTGACTATAAAGTTATTTTAAAACAAAACTGGCAGCATGAAATAACTGGATGTGACACTTTAGAATGATGCACTCTTTCAAGAATTGCTCGTTTTGCTGTTTCTCTGGAAGCAAATCGCTGTATCCAACGCTGCTTCTACCACACTTCTTGGTAAATGGACTACTTATACAGTGCCTTTCTATCTTATCAAGACACTCAAAGCGCTTTACACTACAATCTGTGTCCTTATTTACCCCTTCATACGGCACTCTACTAGATCTCTACAAAGCTAATTGAACAAATCATTCTAAAGAGACTAATCAGTACTTTATCACATTCATACACTGATGGAACACACATCAGAGGCAATGCGGAGTTCAATGTCTTGCCCAGGGACATTTCAGCATGTGGCTGCTGGTGGATTCAAACCCCCAACTCTTGCATTGGCGGACAACTGCTTTAACCACTCAGCCACATCCGCCCTACTTGGTCTTCCTACTGTTCCTTTCTTTCATGTCTAGTGGGGACAAAGAGGCTCTAAGCTCTCCCTCCTCTTGACTCCAACAGAGGACCTTCGAGGACATCCTCTCAAACAACTGAACTGACTTAAGACTCCACTTCTCCACACCTACCTCATCTAAAGCAAAAACCTAGCTGCTCGTTATGTGGAAACGAGCATGAGATCATCCAGTCGCTGCAGGAATGAGCAGAAGGCCCGCATCTTACCGAAAGGATGGCTCTTAAAGACTCCTCTACATTCAGCAAGGATCAAGCCTCAATTAGCTGCATGCCAGATGAAGTAGTGTAAAGAGGCTGCAAATCCGTGAGATAGCAGCCATTTAATGGCACAAAGAAATTCTATGTCAGCGGTGATTTATCATTAACAAATTCCACCCAAGTACCCTTATTTAGACAATGACACTCGTCTTGTTTTTACATGGGCTGTGAGAAAGCTTGTTAAGTAGACACTACCATGGTTTCAGTAGAAGCTAATGCATTGTATTGTATAAAAAGAGATGTCATTTTAATAAAGCCCCTTGTTTTACTCCAAGTTTAACAACAGCCGTTATTATAAAAAACTATATAATGTAGGAAAAGGTTTTGCACGCTGCTTGGAGAGGACAAGAGCATGAAGAGCTCAGTCTTTGTTTCAGCTCACAAAAAGCTTTATGTCCTGGGTGTCACCATGACAACCATGCCATCTCTTCAGTACAAGCAGAAATCCCACAAACAAGAGTCAGTAAGATAATAAGTAATCCACGCTGGCTGACTCGGCCACAGATGACCACTAAACATCCCCGCTCTTCATCATCCCCACCCCACCATGTTAAAACACTCATCCCCGGCGAACGCCACACGCTTGGGTTCTCCTGAGGTAGTCCGAGATGTTCTGGGACCTGATCAAGGTTGGATAGGTAAAGTCGTGCCATGTACTGAACGGACATCTCTTCTCATTTCTGTGATAGGATAAGAATTGGGTCAAACTCGAGAGTGTTTGCACAGTGGCTGTGACAGGAGAGGGAGTGTATGAACACACAAATCAGTTTGTAAAGCCAGTCAGAGAGGACAGGAAGGGGGGGAAGGAGGCATTAATGCATTTACAGAACAACCCTTCAGCTCTCACCAAGAGATAAACATACAGCAAGTTGATTCTGTTTAACTTAAGAATGGCATTCGAATCCAAGATCATCTTCAGTTTTAAAGAAAAACTTTGTTTCTGCATCTGTAATAAATCCTGGCTGCTCTGTATGTGACATTTGTCTACAATACACTTATCTGAGCTTCAGTTTTCTTTACAGCTTCACCAACATGTCCTGGGGAACTGCATCTACTTCTGCTTTTTCAGTCCCCGGCAAAAAGAGAATAAGTACCGACCATACATTTATTTCCCATCTAAATGCAAAAAATGCAGCATGGACGAAGCAAGAGATAACAATAGAGAAAAGGTTGGATGAATTTAAGAAGCTGTGCAGGAAAAACAGAAAAGCCAGACTTGAACATGCAGGAAAAACACAAAGATAAGTGGTGGGAAGGTAGGACGTGCAGGTTTTCCAGTCTAGGATGAATCACAGCTCTCAGGAAAGTAGAGCAATCAGACATGTCAGGCAGCATGAGGACTGCTTTATTTGTGTCGAACGTAAATTTCTGCTCACAGATATCTCCTGACATAATAGTTTCTTACCTTGATTTAATTTGCAAACAATAAGGAGATCAAGTAGTGTACAGTTACAAAAAATATATAATTTATGCTGCTAAAAACATTTGTGACCCAGGGTTTGAAGAACTTTATTGTATCATTATAACCCCTTGACATGAGTCATCCTGCTTTTATGGAGTCCTGAAGAGCGCATTTACAGTAGTTGTATACCAGGGATGGGCAACTTCATTTTTTACTTCGTGAATAGCCATATTGTCTTTTATTGTCAAGCACTGCACATTGAATAGAAGAAAGTATTCTTCATGGAATCTATAAGTGGACTCCTCCTTGAATTGCCACCTTATCGTAGTGGAGGAGTTGTTGCGCCTGAATGATCTTAAGAGCTATGTAGTCAGGGGCTATTGTAATTGAGCCTGGAAGGGTCTCCCAAGGCAGACTGGTCATAGGTGACAGGTCAAAACACGTGTACAAAGAAAACAAGAAACTCAGTTATCGGGGCCCCACCCTGGAGCCAGGACTGAGGGAGGGGCTCATCGGCAAGTGCCTGGTGACTGGGTCTCTACTCATGGAACCCTGTCAGGCTCAGCCTGAATGAGCAACATGGGTTTGCCTTCCTGTGGGTCCACCACCTGCAGGAGGGGCCGTACGAGTTAGGTGCATGATGTCATAGGCAATGGCTGAAGGCAGGGGCCTTGGCGCTCTGACCCTGACTTGTCAAAGCTGGATCTTGGGACATGGAATGTAACCTCTCGGGCAGGGAAGGAGCCTGAGCTTGTGCGTGAGGTTGAGAGGTACCAACTAGATATAGTTGAGCTTAGGCCTGTCATGATAACCAATTTTGCTGGGCAATTAATTGTCTCAGAAATTATTGTGATAAACAATGATATTGTTTGAAATTTGACAATAATTAGTAATGTCAAATTTAAGAAGAAATGTTTGTTAATTTTTGTGTGTAGTACCTTTTTTGACCACTGAATGGCTGTATAAGACTGTTTGAACTGAAGGATGGATAGTGAGGGAGCAATAAGCGTGTCTCTTTAAGAAAATGGGAGGGAGGCCCCTTGATGTGGCATGGGCTGTCTCTCCTTCCTGTTTTTCAGTTCTTAAAATGGTGGACGCTCAGTGTGGTTTGAGCTCTTTAGCATAGTATTTTTCACACAAAGCTTTTAATTAAAAAAATCATTAAACAAGTTCTCAGCTTCTTTTTGCAGAGAAAAACAACTTTTTAGACAAAGGCACGTATTTCAACTGTGAATATTGGAGCTTTGACAAGACGGAGTTTTTTTCCTGAGGTCAGCCTGTTAGCTTAGCTCGTAACTTAGCTTCTCAGCTTAGCTGCTTTTAACGATGAAAAAACACGATTTTGGACGGTTAAAACAGATGTTAAGGAGAAACGAGAAAGGGAGGGGTCAGTGAAGAGCACCGGAGTTGAGCCTTTTATCATCCAGTAGAAAGAGACACGAAGAAACGATAACGCCGATAAATGAAAATGAGGTTGATAATTATCATTTATCATGCAATTGATTGATTTATTGTTTATTGTGACAGGTCTAGTTGAGCTCACCTCGATGCACATCATAGGCTCCAGAGACAATCTCCTTGAGAGGGGCTGGACTTTAATCCACTCTGGAGTTGCCCATGGTGAGAGGTGGCGACCTGGTGTGGGTCTACTCTTTGCCGCCTGACTTGGTGCCTGTATGTTGGAGTTTTCCACAGTAGATGAGAGGGTAGCTTCCTTGCGCCTTTAGGTGGGAGTACAGGCTCTAACGGTTGTTTGCACCTACAAGCCAAATGACAGTTCAGAGTATTTGGCCTTCTTGGAGTCCTTAGCTGGGGTGCTGGAAGGTGTGCCAGCTGGGGACTCCTTTATTCTGCTGGGGGACTTCAATTCCTACACAGATGGGTGGATCTATATTGAAAAACTCTTTCAGACCTTTCTCTGCATTTTTAGACAAAACATTTGGAAGATGATTGGTCAAAAAGTGTCTTCTTATAAACCTACTAATATTCCAACATACTGCCTGTTAAACAACACTTCTGACAATATTTAGGATAAAAGCATGTTTTCTTGGTCTGGTTCCGCCAAAACCAACTTGAAACCTGTTTTAAGCCCACAAGTTTAATTTAGGCATTAAAACATTTTTATTTAGACTGTTTTCTGTTGCCTCAAGAATCTTTAACATTATGATGGCTTGTTATAAATATTGAAAGTTGTTTATTGCGTTTAGGATGGCGAGGGCTAAAGTTCAAATATTCCTTCAGGTCTTCTTTTTGGCTATGGGTGGTAGAAACAAAAGGTATGAATAAAAATTGATGCACATAGGAAGAAAGTATGACATGGCAGAGCAAGAGATGAAAAAGAAAATTACAAAGTCCCACACAATAATCTTTATTCTAGGCAGGCAAACCACTGAATGAAAACAAGTGACATTAAGCAAAGGAAGAACAACTGAATTTGCAGTTTCCCAAGGATCCTTAGTTGTTTATCGGGACTTTAATTTTAACCCGATGACTCCGGTCTGACGCTGAACAATTAGGTCACGGTAAACCACAAACCGACACAGGTGTTTCTAAATCCAGATGTGACAACATTGAGTCCTTTGATTGAAACGTGCAGGCTCGGTAAACACTCCAACATGATTGTTGTTTCTACTTAAACAGCTCATAAATGACACCCCCTGTAAACCTGGCTGAGTTTTATGGAGTCAAGATGCAATAAAATCATAGAATGACTGACGCGATTAGACTAAAAGCAGAAAAGAACTTTTGTCTCGGTCCTTTTA